ACATATCATTTCTTTTATTAATTCTTATAATAGTACAATGGAAGGTTATATATTTTTGAAAAAAACGCGGTTTAACCAGGCGCGGATCCAGAAAAAATTTTACTATTTCTGTTAAAATGAAAACTATTTTTTAAAAAGAATACTTTTTTTAGATAATAATTATAATTTTGATGAATTGAATGAAATTAGTATTGACTCCATTTCTCTCTTTTATTCGCGGCTGGGTTTAACAAAGTTATTGCCAAGTATTTTATGCAAACGAAATTTAAGAAAAATTTTGTGGTTTTCGAGTTAAATAATTAAATCTAATAAGAATATTACAATTACTCATATAAACAGCGATTACTACATAATTAAACCATTCGCTTATAACATCCATTTGCTATTCGGTGGTGTTTAAAAGGTTAAGCCCCACATTGGCCGGACTATATAAACATTTTGAGTAAAAAATCATAAGACCACTAATTATTTTTTTCGATAGTCCCCTCACCTTTGAAAAATCCTAGAAACACCACTGATAACGCATTTTTATTTTAATTATAAACAGTTGATTTTTTTAAAGTTTCATTAATGACGAATATCAAACTCAATTTAATGTCAATTTAACTGATTGGATGAATATACCTGACCTTTTACCTCAAGGACAAAATATAGATTGGTTGCTTCGGGGTTTAGTAGAATCTTCAAGTCGAGAATACAATCGTCTTATAATTCACTGGTAAGACACAAATCTACTTTTATTAATAATTTTCTTATAATGGTATTATATTAAATAAACATATGCAGCTATGTTTTAAAATACATTTGTGTAAAACACATTTTAAACTTAAATATTATAATAAGAAACTTGTTTTATTAAAATTATGTTTTAACAATCCTAATTATAACATAAAAATATAACTGATACATAAATAATAACTTTATTAGGTCTCGCCACTTATAATCATCAAAATAAGCTCTTTAAAAAATGCTTCAAAAACATCATACGAACTTAAACATTTTAAATCACGGTACTCAGAAAAAAAGAATGAAAAAAATGTTTTGTTTTTTTAATTTCTCAATTTTTGCTAAACATTTTGAGAACTGCTAAATATATTATAAATCTATATAATTGACATAACACATAAATATACCACTAGAAATATTAACGCTTATTATTAATAAAAAAAAATACACTTCTATAAAAAAAAGTTGGTCTTTGATTCTTAGGGGTTTTAGTAAATATTGATTAGGAGGAATCATATTAAAATTAGAATATAAGAAGTCATATATTTGTAATATTATTACAAAAAATTGAGAAAAAATTAATTTATTTTACAAAAAAAAATCTTAATCGATTATTTTCAACAATACTTTAAAAGATAAGAAATCGTATCTAATTGAAGACATTATTATTAAAAATTTTAAAAAATGTCCTCGTTTTCCGTAATTTTTTTTTTTATAAATACTTAGGGGTTTGTTTTTTTTTATTAGGTATACTTTTGAAAATCTAACCTTTTGTCTGCCAACAATGGGGATTCAAAATATAAAATTTTTTAAACAAAATTTTGAAAATATTCCAGAAAAACTTCGAGCTTCAAACATATATTAAATTAAAGTTTATGTTATATTATATAAGTTAAAAAAAAAAAAATAATCCTCGACAACTTATACTCTATATAGTTAAAAAACATTATTTAACATTAAAACATATTTTATATTTTAGCTTCGATGCGAAGCTGAGAAGGTATTGGTTTTACTAAGATGTGTTTTTTTTTTTTTTTTTTTGTGTCTGTTACCACTTTTTCTCAGCTCTCACCGAACGGATTTCTTTCAACGATACGTCAAAAGATCACAAATCGTATCTAGTCGAAGACATTACCCTTAAAAATTGAAAAAAATTCCCTCGTTCCCCGTAAAAGGGGGAAACCTCCAAAAAAATTACAAATTTAAAAATCGCTAATTTTCGAAATTTTTTCAATTTTTTTTACTTAAAAGTGCCATAACTTTTTCAAAAATAAACATATCAATATAATTCTTTTTTATATAGATGCATAATATCATTACCTTTCATTTGGTATATTTTTTTCATAAATTTAACCCTTAACCTGCCCACAAGGGGGGATTTAAAATGACAACTTTTTCACAAAAAATTAATTTTTTTAACTTAAATTTTGAAAATGTTCCGGAAGGTCTGACACTTTTATATATATCTTAAATTAAAGCTAATGTAATATGCTTTATCATGAAAAAAAAAAATTTCGGACTTTATCTTATCTTCATGGTGAAAATGGCTACCGAATGCTATTTTTGTGTGAAAATTTTCGATTTTGTATTTTCCATTTTTAACTTTATTATGCTATAACTTTTTGAAAAATGTATGAATCATTACAATTTTTTTATGAGAAGTAGTATTTATATAGATCTTTCATTCGACATACTGTTTTTTTAAATCGGACCATTTCCCTAAATACAGGGGGGATTCAAAACATAAAAATGCATATAGAAAGTAGAACTTTTTCAACGTAACTTTTGAAAGTGTTCCGGAAGGTCTGACACTTTTATATATATCTTAAATTAAAGCTAATGTAATATACTTTATAATGGTAAAAAAAAATTTCGGACTTTATTTTATCTTCATGGTGAAAACAGACATTAAACTTAATAAAAAAAATACGATTTTTGTAAAAAAATTCTTTTTTATATTTTTAACTTTATAATGCTATAACTTCTCGAAAGATGTATGGATCAATATAATTCTTTTTTTTGTAGATGCATGATGTCTTTACCTATCATTTGGTATATTTTTTTTATAAATCTGACTTTTTACCTGCCTACAGGGGGGGATTCAAAATGACAACTTTTTCACAAAAAATTGACTTTTTCAACTTAAATTTTGAAAGTGTTCCGGAAAGTCTGACACTTTTATATATATCTTAAATTAAAGCTAATGTAATATACTTTATCATGGAAAAAAAAAATTTCGGACTTTATTTTATCTTCAAGGTGAAAATGGCTACCAAATGCTATTATTGTGTGAAAATTCTCAATTTTATTTTTTACATTTTTAACATTATAATGCTATAACTTATTGAAAAGTGTATTGATCAATATAATTTTTTTATGGGAAATACTATTTTCTAATAATCTCTTTTTTATTCTACATACTTTGTCTTAATCAGGATATTAATAAGGAACTAGCAGTTTATGAAGCTTTTGGAATAATCCACCAATTTTTTAAAATTAAACACTATCTAAAGATTTGCATCGAAGCGTTTTTTTTTGATAGTGATTTTAATCACTGTCAGATATCATTATACTTGATCCAACTATGCCACGTCACCACTGTGCCGCGACCCCCCTGTGCTGGGTTTTTTAACTTTAAGCTGCTATAACCATCTTAAAAATATGTGAATCAATATAATTTTTTTTTATAAGTATTGTTTACATTTTTCTTTTATCTGACTAAAATAATTTGTATAAATTGGACAATTTCCAAGGGTTTAAATATTAAAACATAGTATAAAAAGTAGATCTTTTTCAACATAAATTTTGTTAGTGTTCCGGAAACATATTGGTTTTAAATATGTGATAAATTGAAGCTTATTTTATTTCCTATAAGCAAAAATAAAAGTTTGTCTCAAAACGTTGTTTATCATATGGAAAACGGCACCCTAAAGAAGGGGGCTGTAAACATAAATAATGTTCTGGCTACCAATTGCTTATAATAAATTGAAGTAACAAAAATAAATATATATTTTATATACTTTTAGTTGCCAAGAGAAGCGAGAAATGTATTGGTTATCTTATAAGTTGTTTATTTTTTAATCAAGAGAGTCGTTTTTTCTTTTTTATCTTAAGCGTAAAATTAGTATTTATATGTCTACCAACAATCATGTACAATTGTTAACTAATTGTGTATTTATGTATAAATGTATATTTATACTGATAATTTTTTTTATGTATACTTTTATTATAAATTAATTGTAAAATAATTACTTTCATGATTATACAAATTGAACTATAATTAATTGATCTGCGAAAATGTTGTTTATTTAAGGCGTTACAAAAATTGAAAAATCTTTATAGTTCAGTTGATGATATAGACCTCCACGTTGGTTCTTTATTAGAAACACCCGAGGAGGGATCCATGATAGGTCCTACCTCTAGATGTATACTATCTGATAGTTTTTATCGATATAAAGTTGGGATAGATTTTTTTATGATGTTTTAGAACAACCTGGAAGTTTTACACCAAGTAATAGTTTTTAATTCTATTACTCTATTTTGTATCTATGTATCAAAATTTGATTATTTTAGAACAGCTACAAATGATTAATCAGATTAACTTTGGTCATATAATTTGTGCTACTACACTCAGAANATACTAATTTTGTCGCACACTCTTAAAAAGAACGTTCCATGCTTTAATGAAATTGAATCATTGTTTTTAAGCCTAGCGTGTTACTTAGTAATAACGCTGAAATGAATTAAAATAACAATTTTTCTTTTAAAATAAAACCACATTCAATAAATTTAAAGATTTTTTTAATGACATTTTAAAGATACTGTAATCAAATCAATAAAATAAAAATATTTTAAACAAAGGAGTCCATTATTTGTTTCATGAACACAATTTACTTGAATGTAATAAAAATATGTTTCTTTTAAAGGATAGGGTAATTGATATAACCAAAAAGTTCTACGTTTCTAATAGAAACGTAGAACTTGATAGAAACTTCTCTATGATAGAAACTTTCTATCATAGAGAATCTTTATTTTTAAGTTAAAAATGTTATTTCAAATCAAAACTAAATTGAATTAAAATATTAATGTTTTACTTAAACTAAAAGTAATTATACTTTGATTTAACGGAAATGTAGAGAAATTATTTATTTACTAACCCCACTAGACAGTTTTCATTAATTCAATACCCTGCCGTCTTTATTTTGATGACATTTATCGTTAAATAATATAATCCACGTTTATTTTTAGCATATTTAGGTAAATTTTTTGGAACTGTTATTATTGTGCTATTAGATAACGGTGACTATACGCAACATTATTCTACACTTGGCATCGTTTTGGTTAGTGTATAGTGTCTAGTAATTGTTTTTATAACTAAATGGAAGAAATAATTTTAAATTCTGTCGTCATTGAAAATAATGAATTTTCCGAAGAATTTTCACACGAATCAGCTCTACTAGATGTACTAGGAGAGTTAAAAGGTTTAAAAGGATTGCTTCTTCAATATATTTATCGGTAAGTACACATATTTATTTTTATATCTTTTAAACGTGTGACGTTTTAGTAATTATCGGTTAATTATAATGGAAATTGACTTTTATACTTTACATTAAATTTAGTGATTTGAAAAATATTATTTCTCTAATTTTTTTTTTTTAATGNTTGAAAAATATTATTTCTCTAATTTTTTTTTTTAATTCTGCTTTTTATAAATTAGATGATATAGCATTAAATTCTCAACTCCTTACTATATTTAATGTACATTTTAGAACATGGAATAACATGTGAAAGCCTTAAATATATTAATGAAAAACACTTACAAGACATTTGTCCAAAAGCCTGTTATGGTCAACGAATAATATTTGAGCACCATTTAAAAAAGTGGCAGGCAAACTTTGTTAGTGTGAGTTAACTAAATTAATTTTAAGCCTTTTAACAGACCTTTCATTATTGATAATTTCAATTGGAAAAATCTAGTACCACTAGTGCTAGTAAAGATAATGCATCAGAACCTTTATCTGATTCAGAAATGTCTGAATACTCTACTACAAGTTCAAATAATAGTTGTCCCATTTCTTTTATGAACCAAGTAATTTATAATTAAAACCTATATTAAATTTTAACAGTAATTTAAAAATACATATTTATTTCCTATTTTATAAAAATATTGTTTTCCTTTATTTTAAGATAAATATAGAAGAAATATTAAATTCATCTGGTAAAGGAAATTTGATAATGTCATTTTATAAAAAAAATTTAAAGCTTAGTGATGAATTAAGGAAAATGTTGACTGAAATAATTACTGAATATATGATACAGCATAAAATTTATGGTTCTCCTAAGATCATTAATAATATTTCTGATAGTATCATTAATATGTTTAAATCTGAAGTTAAGGTTTGTAAAATTTTAAAAATTTTGTATGAAAATTGGTACAATTTTAAATATATCAGTATAATTGCCTTATAGGAAACATACTTCATTAGTGTGCCTGCACAAAAACCAAAGGGAATATTGTACCAAAAATATCATAATACATTGACAAAATTACGCAAACACAAATTGTGGTCTCCCATAAAAAAAGTAAAAAAAAGTTCTGATAGTAACTTAGAGCAAACATCTATACTACATAGGGCAACTATAAGTAAATAATTAATAATAGTAATTTTTACTAATAATTAGTTAAATAATGGGGTTTATTTGTAGATAATGAATGTTTAATTAAAGTAAAAAAATGGCTTCAGTTTAACATTGAGCCTATGAATGAAGTAATTATTAAATGGGAAGAGACTTGTGAAATTCGTAGAGAATATTTGTTGTCTCCAAGTATTAACATTAATAATATTCTCGAAGAATGGCCTATGTACAAACAGTCATTTGGTCACAGCTTGGTATTTTAATTATTAAAATTTCTTAAGTATTTTTAAAAGTAGTTTTTTATGTATATTTCAATTAATATAGTAATTGAAAAATATATAATATATATTATATGTTTACATGTTCAGGATTACAATTTTATTTATTTTGTATTTAATGATTTTAAATTTATAGAGATAATTTAGTTATAATTAGGTTTATATTTCAATGATACTAATTTACATAATTACTTATTAATTTAATTCTAGATTGATATTGATTTTGAATATATATATGCTTCAAAAGGAAATTCATTGTTTGTTAATTGGGATCATTTATTATTTATTGTTAAGATCATTCCGTTAATGATAAATAAAATAAAGGATGGAAACAGCAAATTATTACTTAAACGTTTAATAGAAATAAACGAAACTGATATTGGTAAGATAATTTCTCACAATTTTTAATTAATCAAATAATAATATTTTAATTTTTTTTACAGAAACCAGAAATCTTTTAGTTTTAGATCTAATGAATGCTTTATTAGTTCCAACTTCCAGATCCTATGAAATAGATTCAGTTACAAATAAGAGACGCATTGTAAAAACATCTATTTCTGATGCTAGAAATTCGTTTTTATTAAAAGTGGCTTCAATGAATGATCTACATGTTCAAATTCAATTAAAAATTGATATCGCTTACAAAAAAAAAGAAAAAATACAACCATTCATCTGTGTTGCTGAAACTAATTTTGATGATATCAATAATATTTATGTGTATTTTTTCAACACCTATTATAAATTTTCAAACACAATACGAGCATTAGATACATGCTTTAAAATTTTTCAAGTATTTAACTTACAGTACCCCATTCAATCTAGTTTAGTTTGGACATTTATACAAAAATTTATTTATGATATTCACAATGATTGTGATATTAAAAGCTCTTCGCTAACTTCAATAATCTCTGATTTAACTATATAAGTTTTCATAATTAATTTATTACATTANTTCATAATTTATCTATTACATTGCTCATAATTTTATTCTAATCTAATATTTTAAACTTTATTACAGTTACTAAATTATATACAATAATGAATCTAATTTGTTTTAATTGTAAAGATATCTTTATTGAACTTCATCAATTCATTGCACATTTGAAGTATGTTCATTCATTAACATCATCAAGTTTTTACCGTTGTGGCATACCACATTGTTCACAGACTTTCTCAACTTATCGTTCATTTTCTAAACACATGAAATCTGAAGTTCTTAATAATCAAAATTCTAATTGTAACAATCCAATATGGTTATTCTTGATAAATTTTATTGAAATTATTGATTTATTGTTATTGTCAAATTTTAATGATCAAATTATTTTAAATTTACAAAATCATATCACATATCACAATAATAAATATGTAGAATTATTTCAAGACAAATTTAAACATAAACATCATTTTCTTATCCACTACTGTAATATAATAAGAAAATCAGGCCCCTTAAAATTTTTATGGTGTTATCGGTTTGAATCTAAACATAGACAACTTAAAGCATACTCTAAAAACATAACTTCAAGAGTTCAACTTCCTATATCTTTGGCTATAAAATACTCCATTCATTTTTCAGATTATAATTTAAATTTAAAAAATAGTTCTTGTATCTCGGCAAACTTAGGCTTACCACTAAATTATGTGAATATTTTGAAAAGATTAAAATTTTATTTTCTCCCAATGATTTATCTGTACTTAATTTGGCACATTGTTATGACCAAATAATATACAACAATATAGTTTATAAAACCAGTCATATACTAACATCTTTAAATAACAATCATTTATTGGTATATAAATTGAAAAAAATTATTTGTTTTGATGAGAAAGTTCTTTTTTTATGTATAACATTAAATGTACTATCTTATAATAAATATTTTGTAAGCTATGTTGTTTCGAATGTTGATACTGATGATTTCTATGTATTAAAAGATATTAATGATTTCTCAGGTCCACCAATTTGTTTATATCATCTTAATGATAAAAAAACAGTTATAAGATTAAAACATTTTTAAAGATTTATGGATTTTGTATTTTAATATATATATATATATATATATGTTTATTATTATTTTTAATTATANATATATACTTATATATGTTTATTATTATTTTTAATTATATTTGATGTTTTAATATAATGTTAATTTGATAGAAACTAATGGAATAAGTAACTATGTTAAAATAATAATAATTTTATTTATGTAAATTTTATTCCTTATTTATTAGGAATTCATCTGTTTATATTTGTAATTTGTATTTATCATTAATATTGNTTGTAATTTGTATTTATCATTTATATTGATTAATTTTTTACTTTAAAAATAAATATACTTAATAAATGGCAAAGTGTTAAAATTATTAAATTTAAATAACCTAATCATTTGTTTTTATTATTCACAAAAAAATGATAGAAGATGGATTTTTACTTTATTACTAAGTAAAGCAGTTCTTAAAGTAATACAAAGAAATTTTAATTTTTATGAAGCAATAGAATTGTTTTAAAAACCAACCTAATAATAATAGCTTAAAATCAATGCTTGCAACTCATCATATTTATGTTTCAAGAAAAGTTAAATTTATGATCAGAGTTAATTATTACAACAAATTATATCTTTAAAATAAATACCATAGGATGTATTTCCATTAAATTAATGTTAATAATTTTCCAATAGTTTAATTCCTAAGTATTTAAAACTATGGACTGTAAGATTAAAATTAAAGAAATTAATAATTGTTTCAATGAATATTCTTTAGCATTAATATAATGATTAAAAAGATGTCATTTCAATGAATCGATTCCATAGGCTCCAAATCATACCCGTTTTTCCTTAGTTTTATATACTTTTTCCATTAATTTTAATAACTATTTCTCTGGGTGTACTAACATAAAAATGTTACCATTAAACGTGTTTAAAATAAGTGATCGGTAAGTGAAACATAATTGTTTACTTATTTTTTACACTGTAATATTAGTTATCCACTATTAAAAACGCAAGTTGAATTTTAAGTTTAAGATTTATAAAAACTTATTTTAGGTATTCACCAGTTCAATGGACTTGCAATGAGCATTTTACAAAATCAACTTTGAAGCTTGGAAAGAATAGTGAAAGAAAATTTTTTGTAAATTATTATTCATTGAAAAAATAGTGTAGTTTATTTTGATTACTGATACTTATATAATTATTTATTTAAACATCTATTAATAAATTTAATGCATTTTAAATAGCTATAACTTTGATTGTTTTGATCATTAAATAAGTTTAATATATTATTATATTTTTTAATATATTTTTAACTGTTATAAGCTGCATAAAAAAATTGCAAACACCTAATTATTTCGAGCAAGTTTTGTGAGTCGACAAAATCATGAAGTAAACAATTATAAAATAATTTAATTGTGTAAGATAAAAACTTAATTAAAAAAAAATAATCAACTGAATAATTACAAAGAATATATATATATATATATATATATTAATATATTTCAATATCATAGTAAAATCAATAAGTAATTATCATAATAATAATAATAAATTATTCATTTTACTATGTTTCAATATAAACTTCTTTTTTGTGGATACTTAATGATAAACGTTACCATAACAAAAAGATTACTAATTGCCTTGCGTGTTCAAAGATTGATAACAAATGTTCGGCATGGAATAGTGAGATAAGATACGTAAATAAATAGAACATAAAATATTTTATTTAAAATTGTATTGTTTTAAGGTTCTAACTGGAAAAACTTTCATTGCTTATTTAATTAAAGTCTGTATATATGACGTTTTATTTTTAATTAAAAAACATTACTTATTTCAGTTTCTTTTATTGTGTATTTTTTATATTTAACTTAATGTTTATAAATTTTTCTATTGTGAAACTAAAATTACGTTTGGTTTTAATCGTTCTAGTATTACTTGTAGTTATTCCGTTAATAGGTCATTATTACTTATCAAATGTAAGTATATTTTAGAAATAACAAGACTTATTTGTTTTATATACCAATTAAAATTTATAATTATAGGAAGATAAAAATGGATTTGATTATTCTTATAATACTCGACATGCAAAATTGGATGTGTATGAAGACTATGGGACTCTTAAGGCCTCCGATTTGAAGCATAGAATTTTAGAATTAAATAGAATTAAAAGTATTTATTCATTTTGACTAAATATTAGTTTCAATATGTTAAAAAATATTATAATTATTTTCAAGATTCAGTGAACAATGAATTAAGAAATATAGAGGGTCAAAGACAAAAACTTCTTTCTGAACTTTCAGTAATCCAAAAAAAAATAGAGGATGCTAAAGTAGAATATTTGCATGAAAAGAGTGAATTGGAAAAATTGAAAATATCTGTAAAACAAGTAATTGTTTATATATTATTATGGGGTGTTCAGTAAGTAAGGAAATGGGTTTCTATTGTTCTCATTGTAACAACTGGCCTATTTCCTTTCTTACTGAACACCTATATATAGATATGTGTATATTTTCTTTTAAACACAGTGCAATTTATTTGATTTACTTTTAGGCTCAGGTTGCTGAAAATGAAGCAGTTATGCAAAATACTCCTCGTCTTGCACCACCTATACCTATATTATCACAATCATCTCCTATAAATATACCACTTTCAACTAATCCTTATTGGTGTCAAAATATGAAAAATTGTTTTGATTATTCTCGGTGTTCATTGACTTCAGGGTTTCCATTTTATTTTTATAATAATGATGAAAATTCTAAAATAACATCTGTATCTTTTAACAAAATTGTTTTACAAGTTTTACGATATAATGCACATTTTACTAATAGTTCAAATAATGCTTGTGTATATGTTGCTTTAATTGGTGAAATTGATAGTGAAATTACAAATAATCAATTAAAAAACCTTTCATTTTGGGGAGGAGATGGGAGAAATCATATTTTGATTTATTTGACTAAAAAGATTTTTGAACCACCTAAATATGATGAGAATATAAATTTTGGACGTTCAATAATTGCACAATCATTTTGGAACAAAACCAATTTTCGCCTGGGTCATGATATTTTGTTACCTGCTTGTATTGGACCTCCTGGAGGGGAAGTTTGGATAGATTCTCCATATATGTTACCAGCTAGAAGAAAATATTTATTGTCTTTTGAAGGATACAAAAATGTAAATTTTCTTAATAACAATCAACAAAATTTTGGTAAGAAATAAATAAATAGATAATTCTTGTACAACCAAAATATTCTTTTATTTGCATTTGTCCTTTTTCAAATTTAAAAATTTTCATTTATTATTTTTTATAATAGAATTTCTAAGTAAAAAATTTTGTTAGGAGATTAAATAATAATCTATCTATCTTATGTCTTTTAAATGTCATGTAAATAATATGTATGATTTAAATATTCATTTATCATAATTTATTAGTAACTCAAATGAAACATTTGTCTTAATAATTAGTAAATTGAATAAGTGAGATCAATTAAAAGTATATTTTTTATTTTTTAGTCGAAATGATGAATGAATTTATTTCTAAAACATCTGTTGATCAATTTTACTTAAAGACTAATTGTGATAACCAAAGAATTGAAAGTAACATAATAGATTGGTGTTTATGTGGTACTGAAATAAGTCGTAAATCATTTTTAATGCTATCCACATTCACATTGATTCCAGCACCTCTTGATAAGGATATGATTTCAACTGCTATGTCACAAACACGTTTATATGAGTCTTTAAAATTTGGTGCCATACCTGTATTTTTGGAATATGATAAAATAGGATTACCATTTGATGAAGTATAAATTTAAATTTTCCTAACTCAAAATAATTGATTTTAATTATTAATTTTATTTTAAGGTTTTAGATTGGTGCAAAGCTGCAATTTGTCTTGCAGGGGAACGAATTCCAGAATTACATTGGTTATTGAGAACTGTGTCAGATAATGACATACTATCAATGAGAAAACAAGGACGAATGTTGTATGAAAAATATCTTAGCACTGTTCAAGCTGTGTTAGATACTACCCTTTCTATAGTACGTAATAGAATTGGTATACCACCATTACCAGTGATTGACATACCATCTCCTAGCATATTTAATGAAAACTTTAAGGTAAAAATTCACACACTCAACATAAATTTTAATTCAATGTGTTTTAACAACAATTTTAAACGTTAGCCAATTAAGATGGAACCTATTATACCTGATGCAGAACCAGAAGAAAGTTTAGGTCCATTGGAACCTTCTTATGCTTCACCAGTTTTTTTAAGAAACTTTACAATTATGAAACTCCAAGGATATGAACTATGGAATGGTTGGGGTGATCCATTTAAACTTTATCCTTATACACCTTTTGACATATTACTTCCTTCGGATGCTAAATTTATTGGTTAGTATTACTCTATTCATTAAAAAAAAATATTTTATGTATATTTAGATTATATTTTTTAATTTATATTTTATAAACTATTATAAACATTTATTCCTGTGTTTTTTTATGATACAATTTATCTTATATTTAAGGTCATTGTATTTAACTTTTAATATGTTAAGGTTAATATGTACTGATTGTTATATCTTTTCCCAAACCAATTATATTAGTTCAAATATTTTATCAAGTTTCTTAAGCAAACCACCAATTGATAGTAATAGTAATACAAAGTTTGTTGAGAAAACTTATTAAAAGAAAAAATAACTAATTTAAATCTAATACCAAACTTAACCAATCAAGTTTGTATGTAGTACACACCTGGTATAGAACCATGTTTCCCTCAGCCATTACATTGTTGATTACATTATCAACCTTTAAAAATATGTATTGGTATCTGAATCATAAGTGATCTAGTGGTAAGATTTGTTTCTATGATGTCGTAGGTTATTGATTCTAATTCTGAACTATGCCTCTTATTTTACATGATTTACAGTACACTTTTGATAATCTCTAGTGTCACACCACTACATTAATCCTAATTTTTTTAACAAATGATTTAAAAAAATTCTTCCTTAAAAAATTTAAATGAAACTTAATGTAAAATTTTATATAAATCAAACTTTTGTTATTATTATAATTTTAGGTTCTGGTAAAGGTTTTCGTCCAATTAATAATGGAGCTGGTGGGGCAGGGAAAGAATTTTGTCAAAGTCTTGGTGGCAATTCACCAAGAGAGCAGTTTACAATAGTAATTCTAACATATGAGCGTGATCAAGTACAATTAACTTTTTTTTTTAATGAAATGTAATATTATTTTTTATTATTTAAAAATTATTCAATAGGTTTTGATGAACTCATTGAGTCGACTTAATGGTTTGCCATACTTAAACAAAGTAATTGTTGTTTGGAATTCTCCTAAACCTCCCTTAGAAGACTTACGATGGCCAGAAATTGGTGTACCTATTCATGTAATTAGCCCATTTATGATTTTCTTTCTTAAAATGACATTAACAAAAAAATATTAAAATCATAGGTTATTCATGCAGCAAAAAACAGTCTAAACAATCGGTTTTTACCTTATGAAGCTATTGAAACAGAAGCTGTTTTATCAGTTGATGACGATGCACATTTGAGGCATGATGAAATTATGTTTGGATTCAGGTAAATTTCATAAAAGAACAGTTTTTTAATCTTAAAAAAATTATATTCTTCATATATATGAAGTGTGTATACATAGAATAAACATATATCAATAAATCTAGTGATAAATGGAATGTTTTTTTTTTAGGGGAGATCTGAATTATATAATAAATGTTATTTTATAATAGTTGTTTTTTTTTATATTAAAAAAGTGCACGTTTTAATTTTTTTTGACGTAGGCTTTATTAGACAAGCTACATATTTATATTGATGACCATTTAATCTTTTTTCATCTTAATTAAAAAAATATACCAATAATGTGAGTGTACATTATTGGTACAATATAAAAAAATCTTATTAATATATTGATAATGCACATTTATTTTTACTTTTGTGTCTTAATTATACTTAATTCTGTTTTTATAGTTAATTTGTATAATAACTTTGTTTATCGACAATAGAGTTTGGAGAGAACAACGTGATAGAGTTGTTGGATTTCCTGGTCGTTTCCATGCGTTAGATCTTAACCATGGTGGTTGGTTGTATAATTCTAATTACAGTTGTGAACTATCAATGGTTTTGACAGGGGCTGCTTTTGTTCATAAGTATTATTTATATTTGTACTCGTATTGGTTGCCCCAAGCTATAAGAGATAAAGTTGATCAGTATATGAATTGTGAAGATATTGCTATGAACTATTTGGTTTCTCATGTTACTAATAAACCACCAGTTAAGGTTGGAAATCATTTGAATTACTAAACTGTTAAATATATCAAATTCTATTTACAAACATGTTCTCTTGTTGTTTTAGGTTACATCTCGCTGGACTTTTCGGTGTCCAGGATGCCCAGTTTCTCTATCAGAAGATGAAACTCATTTCTTAGAACGTCATAAGTGCATTAATTTTTTTACAGAGGTAAATGTATATTTTTACAAATTTTATCCAATTATAATATAATTTTTCTTTTTTTTAAATTTAGATATTTGGATATACACCACTTTTAAATACACAATTCCGTGTGGATTCTATTCTTTTCAAAACTCGAATACCACACGATAAACAGAAATGCTTTAAGTTCATTTAAAAGAATTTTGATTAATTAATATTATATTTTAATATTTAATTAAATTGAGATTAAAATCTGGAATTATTTATAATTATGAACAAGACTGATCAAATTTGACATTATTAATATAATTAATTAATAAACTCCATTCTTAACTCTAAAATATAAATTTAGTACTACTTATTTATTAAATTAAATTTCGTTTTTTAATTAATACTAGTTAAGTAAACTTATTTTATTGTGTTATTTGAAAGATGCCATATAATGTTGTTGCTTAGTTACCATCATAATAACAACTCATATCTCATGTGTTGTATTGATTAATGTATTTTTTAGCTTTAAATATAAAACAATTTAAAAAATAACATTTTAAAATAAATTTTTTTGTTAAGTTTTCAAAACCAATTATAAAGTAATAATATCTGTCATTCAAAAATTTGTGTAACTATGGTAAATATATTTTTACTTATTTATTATTAATTATTATGTTTACCATGTATATAATTTACCTAAAATGCGAAATATTACCATCATTCATAAAAGTGATTTATTAATAGGGATTTTTAGGTCAATCCCGCATAAAAACTAAAAAAATGACTTGGTTTTATTACAAGTAGGGGTGAACAATTTTTCTTAGATAAAACCCATAAGAAAAAATTATAAATACGTTCAAGGTTAGATCTACCCAACAAATTAATATATATAAAATGAGCATTGCTTTTTACCCTCAAAAAAAAAATCGATACAGGCCAAGATAAATAAATACTAAAATAAAATTTTTGACGATACGAATTTTTCTCCAATCTAAAATGCTTAATGTAACAACTTACGTAGTTTTCTAAAAAATTTTGGAGGAGCTAAGTCCCTAGTTGTAATAATAAAATTTGGGCCCAACCCATGTTTGGTGCTGCCCAATATGATTGACAAAGTGATGTATTCAGTTTTTCACATGTTGTTATACATGAGAAACAAATTTACTAATTCTTTAAATTACATCTCAAACATACAATTATTATCATTTCAACCCCTAACTCGCCCCTGGACAAGATCTCGTGTAAAACATCATTTATAAAAATCCAAATTACGATTCTGTACTACTAGTTAGAAAATTTGCAATATTAAAATGTACTAGGAATACATTAGGTAAGGCGCAACGAGTTCATAATCACAATGAAACCAATTTATGATTTAGACGGATTTGATATTTGTGACAAATATGAAAATCAAGTACTAGTAATTCATAAAGACTAATGTACACCGTCACATGTTACGAGGTGTCCAGCGGTTCGTCGAGATAGCAACGTACAAGTCACGTTACTCGTATAGTCAGGTGCCATGGCAATGTCATATGCAAAAGCATACGTGATACGCGACATAGCATATTATCTTATGCCATGGCGGCTCTTTCAGTTTTCCATATTACGGAAAATGTGATAGCCGTAATTGATATCATGGTGACATTTTTTATAATCCTAAAGAGCGCTGGTGCACTGAAATACAAAATAATTACGACATAGTGAACGGACCGTGAGTGGGATACTGTTTTTTAATAAGATTAAAATTTCGTACATGGAATTCATGTTGAGATGATGTTACCTATCAATGATTCTTATGAATTCCTGATACTAAAACTTTCAGTTGAAACTGCGATCTTTAGACGAGTTTTAGGCTATAACCCTTTAAGAATGTCCTTGAATTAACAAATTGTGACACCCCACAATCAATTGGGCCTGCTTTAATTTGTTTATTAATTGGTATTAGATCTAGTTCTGGTTACGTCAATGTTTCAACATAACTAATTTTTATTTTAATTAACGACAATTTTGTTATTTGCAATACTCGACAATTAATTGTTGAGTGTTGTATCCTTAAGTTACAAAGTAAAATGAGAAACAACTTTTTCAATATTTAGGTTTAGGTTATTCTGAGAGTTTAATAATTACTGAGTGAAAAAATTTTATTTTAGGATGGAAATATTTCTGTGAATGACCATCACAAAACTGTTGTGGATAACTATGTAGAGTTTATGAATCACCACAATAAACAATCAATTGTAGCTGTAGAAAAGTCATTTGAGGAAATGTTAAAAGCAAAGTACACCCATACCATAATCTATTTATGCATATTATAAGTAATTAATTTTAACATAACTGATCAGTTTGTTAGATGAAACATTCACTAAAGAAGAAGTTACCAATTTCATAAATAATTTGGAAAACATTGTAAAAAATGAAATTGATTGTGAGTTGACAGCATTTACCAATACTAATATTTTAATGATGCATCAGTTTTTTCAACAGGCAGAAAAGTGGCATCTTAGGTTGAATGTAGATATTTCAGAAATGCAAAACAAGTAAATTACTTTACACATATTATACAAAATAAGGTAACTCCTTAGTTGTTTATTGCAAATAAAAAAATATTGTGCAATTTTTCAGAGATTTGCTTCTTGAAGTAGAAAAATACAAATCTCAGTATAATGTGATTAATCAGTTAGCTACAAAAAAGAAACTTATTCCAATAAGGGATCAAATTTCAAATGATTTTGCTGATATGTTGCATAAAAGATTAGAACAATTAGAGAGTGACAATTGTAAACTACTTAATGATTTAAAGTATTTAAAAGATAGTGTAAGTACATAATTTATGTACTACTAAAATGTTTAATTATAATTAGGTCTAATTATAAAAGATCTTTTAGTAATGATCAGTGTTCAGCATTAACATTTTTCTTGTCATTTAAAATTAATTTTCAATTTTAGTAGGACTTCCAAGTCAGAATTTAGGTAGAGAATATAATTAGATTAAAAAAAATACTTATTTTGTTTAATATACTTAGCATTTTTTGTTTAATTAAAATAGTATATTTGAACTCATAATCATATAATGTTTGAGACGATAAATGTATACAAACAGTAAAATACTACAACTAAAATAGTTGAAGTAAATTCGTGTATTATAATATAAAAAAAGAAATAGAAAATCAGTGTTGATTTCTAAACTCAATTATTATTATTTTTAAGATACACTATTTTATATTTCGTTTTTTTTTAAAGTTTGATGAAGTTGACAAAGAAAGAAAAGCATTGAGATTACTTGTAGAAGAGAAAAATAAAAATATAAATGCAAATAATTATACACAGTTAAAAGATATTGAAGTACAAACTCAAGAAATACTGGTAGATTGCATTTTACATTTTTTAAGTTCCTAATTTTGTACACAATACTAATTAAATTTATTAATTAATAGAATATTGAAGAAAATGATCATGAAAAATGTAAAATAGCTTTAAATAAGCTTGAAAGTGAATTAAAAATAACTCAATCACAATTAAAATTGGCTAATTTAGTATGGAGTTAAAATTTTTTTGATTACAAAAACTTAAGCTTGTTAAAATTTTACCTTTAAAATAAAATCTAAATGATTATTATTGTTTTTTTTTTTATAGGAACTAGAAAGAAAATTTAATGACACAGTAGCATACATTAATATGAAAGACATAATTACAAAAAAAAATGAGCAAGTTCGTGAATTAAGAGATAAATTACAAGTATATGAAAAAGAAGATAACAATGAAAGTGTTTAATTTTAGTCTGAGCAAGTATAATAAAACCAGACCTAATGAAGGATGTAGGAGCCCCTTGGACTATCGCCTACTTAAAAAGAAGTATTTTAAACAATTTAATAAACAAAGTATTTATTTTTACATATAAAAAAATTATGCATTTAATTATTCTGTAATATATTTTAATTTAATCTAAAGTTTTTATTTTATGATAAAATAATATGTATTTTTGTAACAATTCACTCCAGAATTTATATATTTAATATTTTTAATTAGACTAGATTCTTATTTATTAATAAATATAAAGTTGTTAATTTTTGTTTAAAATAAAATTAGATCCTATGATAGATAAAATAATGATTTTTTTTTAGTGGATCAGGAAATTTTCTTTTTATCACTTTCTTTGAAAATCTCCAAGATATTAATCTATTCACTGGATTTATGAAAATTTGGCTTCATATATATTTTATTGAAGTACTAGTTTACTTATAAAATGAAAGTAAAAAGATTATGTAATATATTAATACTCTATAATAAAATTAAACCAAAAATAATAATTATTTTAAATTCAAAAGATTTTTAAATAATTAAACTTTATAATTATGTATTATAGTTGATGTTGAGCACATAGGTTAATGAGAGCATTGGCCACTCACCAACTAATTTACAAATTTTAAAGTTTGTGACTTAAAATTCTTATTTATCTGCTTCTAACTCATCTTAACACATTGGCTTTTAATTGTAAGACAACTTTCTATTTTTTAAAAATGGAATTTTGAATTTAAAAAAATGAAAAAGGTCGCAAAAACTTTATTTTTATAGGCTTACTTATTGAAAAAATAAAGGTAATGATGAAAAATTTTAACAGAGATTGAAGAAAAATAAAATAAACAACTCAAAATAGCTGTAATAAAATAATAGATAAGTATTTTATTATAACTAAGCATGTATAAAATTAGGTTGTGAATAATGTAAAATGTAGGAGAGATTGGGGCATATTTGAATGTGGAACATGATTAATGAACTAGTTGTAGCAATAAACTAAGTTCACGTAAAATACAAAAAATTGGTCTTGTTGTACTCAACATTTGATATGTTTATTTATGTGAAATTACTTTATCATTACTAGTTTTATTTAATCAATTCAAATCTACCCTACATTCAGATGTGCCCTAGTCTTTTATATATAAATTACAATATGTAAAATATGTAGGGATCAGAGTCTATGAAAGATGTTAAGCCTTAAATATAGCTGTGTCACTATATAGTAAATTGACTTAATTAAAAATCAAAAGTTTCATATAAATGTATGATAATTCTATTTTTAAAAGTAGTTACTAAAAATTAAACTATTATGTATTACAACCTTTTTATTTTTGGTGATGATATGACAAGTTAACCATATTTAATATAATACAACATAGACAATTATTAATTAAAATTTTTTATAAATATTTCTAGCGCAGAATTGTTTGGCGCGAAATTATCAGTGTGGAATTATTGTGACATCATCTTTACTTATTTATATGATAAGTAGATAAAATAATTTACTTATTGTACACCTAATCATATCATGCATAAATTATGGAACGAGTAAAAAAAAAGTATTTTAAAATAAATAAAAAATTATTAGATTTTATTTAAAGTAAATGATAGATTTTGAAAAAAAATCTGCCTTCAATTTTATTATTTGAATGCTATGAATAGCATATGAACTTTAACACAATTTGATGACAATGTGTATATTATTATATACTATTATTATATAATAATAGTAATGATTTTTAATTATTAAAAAATTAGTAAAAAACATAAACAGTAATAATTATTCACTGTTATCATCATCTTTGCTTTTCTCTGACTTCTTCTTCTTCTTCTTATGACGATGCCTTGAACCACTTCTACTACGAGACTTATGTTTTCTGGATCGCTTTTCATGGCTACGACTTCGAGAACGATGGCGATGTGACCTACCAAGAAATAATTATTAGAAAATAATAACTATAGAATTTTGGATAAAGTATAGCTTAGGACTTATTTAAAATAGTCTATGATTAGAATAAGAAATAAGTATCAATGAGAAGGTAGATTAGCAATAAAGTTTCAAGATAAAGATATTTTTAAGGTAGAGTGGTTAGAATGATTATTTTACTAAACCATATAGCACATTTTTACATAACCATATTTATAGCACAGTACCAAACAGTTCCAAAGCTATAACAAAATATTACTGATTTCATATTTTTATAATAAATGGTTGACCTTTATTTAGAGTTCCTCATTTTATAAGCAACCATTTCTTTGAGAAACTGACTAAATTATTTAATATTAATTTGAAAAGTGTTTGTGATTACTTAAAATCCAATCCTAATGCAGGCACATCACATCGTTTATCTAATTACTATGGTAACAATAATTCCTGTTTTTATAGGGTTTACATAAAAAACAGAAAATCAAAGTTGAAACCCCATTGAATAAGTAACAATAAGTTAGCACAATATCATTTTTTGAATGATAAAAATTAATATTTCATAAAAAAGGTAAGATTAAAAATTTTGTAAAAAAAAAAAAAGGAAAAAATATTAATAAATTACTTGTGTTTATATTCTCTTTCTTCTTTATAACTTGTTTCAGGACTATCAATTCCATCACTAAAAAAAAAAAAAAAATTGCTCAACTTAACTATTTTAACTAATATATTATATACATTAATTGATAAAATTAATGAACCATAAAATAAAACTTAATGAGATGACAATTTTAAATTAAAATTCAATTTAATGACTTCTTACCTATCCCTATGCCTACTACGTTCTCTATCTCTATCTCTATCCCTATCTCTGTCTCGATCTCTTTCACGATCCCTTTCTCGGTAACGGTTGCGGGCATCACGTTCACGGTCAAAACCACGTTCTTCTGGTTCTTTTTTTACACGTGCTGCATAATATTCTTTTTCCCTTGTAGCATCCTAAAAAACCTTATTTATAATTTTGTACATTTTATTATATTCTTAAAAAAATCTCACTGGTCTAGATTTATTGTAGGAATCACCATTTGAAAGAGTAGGAATGTTTTCAATACTTTTGATATTTGAATTCCAACTCTAAAATATAATAAAATTTATTAAATAACAATACATTATAATTATATAATTTTTATGTTAATTAATATTGGTAAAATATCAAGATATACTTGATTCCATTGCATATCTTGTGTGGGCTCAAATGTATTATAATATGAATCTTGTTCATGGGGATAGTATTCAGGTTCGAAATTCAAATTTATTGGTGGTGGTGGGCCATAACTATAAAATATAAACACATTATATTAGTAATAAGTTGTTAAAAAGAGAATTGTTTTAATATTATATTACCCAGGAGGAGGTATAGAACCAGGTATCATAGGTGGGGGTACATCAAACGTTGTAGGTATTATTGGTGGTGGTACAGATAAATCTGGGGTAGGAAAGTGTTTACGACTGTATTCTCTTCTCTCAGCTGTCATAACCTACATATAAGTAAATTAAATCATATAAAACAACACTAAAAGTTATTAGATATAAATATAGAGGATGCTTTTTAAAATAAACATAGATACATAAAACATATTGTCTTTATTTTTTTATCTTCGAAAAAATAATTGAGAAGGTACTGATTTTACTATGTCATAGATAATATTTTTTTAAGTGTTTGAATATTAAATAAATCATTAGAAACTATTTGTTTAACAATATTTTAAACATTGCTGATAATATACTGTTTTCAGAAATTCAAACATTAACCAAAATATTGAATAATTAACACCATTTGAACATTATTTTTTTAAATTTTTAATAATGTTCTAAAATGTTCTTAAAACCTATGTCAAATTAAAGCTAATGAAATGTACTTTAATATGATAAAAGAAAAGACATCTGAAGGCGAATTTCAATGAGTTGTTTATCAATTAGTTTAAAAATAATGCAATTTCTCTTAGTAGAAAATACAATGTCAAGTTTACTGACACAAAAATTATAATATTCATACTATGAGAATGTTATATACTAATTATAACTGAATAAATATTATTAAAACATTATACAATAATTATTTAAATAGGTATTTTATTGTGATATACACTTGATATGTCTGTAGTCACAGGCAAAGGCCTTTGTTGGTGCAACCATTATTTCAATTTAAAAACATATTGAAATCATAATATTATATCAATGTCCTTAAAAAAACGTAATAAGATTTTATAAATATTTCATTCATAATTAAAAATATTTTTTTTCAACTGTTGAATAAAATGTAAAATGTAATAATTTAAAATTACTATATAAGTATATATATTTTTAACAAAAAAATATTATTTTTCATAGAAATAGTCAAAATATAAGAAGCCATAAAAATTAAATTTAAAATGAAAATCAAATAAGCCTTTGAAATGCATAAATAAAATAAAAGGCTTTGTTTTTTACATAGTTTGAAATCATAACAACTTTTTAACCAGTACTTCAAAAGTTTTTTATGTGAACATTTGTTGTGTTGACAGGAGGAAGAGTAGGGGTGAAAAATATTAAATGATATAAATAGGTAAATCCACATCTTTTTTTTAATGTATATTTTAAAATCAACATAACTTCTGCATATTGGTCCAAAAGTTGTTTACTTAACATTTTCTAAATTAGATTAATTTTTTATAATGTATAGTTTAAAATTAAGAAGAACCTAGCAAAGTGGGGATGCAGAATAGTTTGAACAAGTATATATGATATCTGACAGTGAATAGCACTATTATAAAAAAACACTATGGTTTAATCTGTTAAATTTCACAATAATTTGTATATTTGTAATTTTACAATTATTGTAACATAATTTCAATTAAACATTAAAGGATTGTTAAAATATTTGTTATATTGCACAATAGTTTAACCTAAACTATTCTGTTAAATAACCAATTACTTTGGGAACATTAAAGTACATAAAATAATTTCTTACCATTATTTTTCTATATTCTTTTAACAATATAAACATGCCATGAATAGAATATCAAATGAAAGCTTACTGTTTTTAGTATACTGTATTAAAATTACAATAGGATTTGTGTTTTTATAAAAAAGTTTTAAAATGAATAAATTTTTTTTGAAAATTCTAGTTTTTATGGTTGCATAATTTTGAGATATTTATCTTAATATCTAAAATTAAGGTGTTTTTCTAATTTTTGGCGACGATAAGTTCAATTATTATAATCGGGTTCTGTTAATAAAATTATCATGAAAATAGATATAGCGTGAGTTAAGAATTCTTAAGGACAGACATAAAAAAACGCATAATGGTAAAACCAATACCTTCTCAGCTTTGCATCAAAGCTAAAAACATTCATACTAATATTCCAATTTTAATAAATATTTTTAAATGTTGAAAAAGTTTAGCTTATAGTTTGCCAAAAATACATAAGCTGGTAAATAATATAATAATAATAGTAATATATTGTTGCTAGTATTATAAAACCAAATCAATAAAGAATTTTTACATGACATCCAAATCATTAAATAGTGTCTAAAAGGCAAACAGTTGATCGGATAAAAAAAATTTTAAGAACATACTTGTTTGTAAATTTTTATTCAATCATATTATAAAGTTAAAAATAGAGATTCCTATTTAAAAAAAATTATAAATAAAGATTTTTATCCTTGAAGGAACAAAAAAAAAATAGATTGAACTCTTCACTATTGTAGTTTTTTGAATCTAAAATTTTTTTTGTTTACAAAAGTTTAAAATTCTCAATAGTTTTAGAGAAAATGATTGTCATATCAGATATAGCAAAAGTTAAAAACATTAATGGTGAATATTAAGTATATATTTCTGCAGTAATAATCAAATATATTAATAAAGAGGTTAATTTATTATATTTTAATTATTTTTATTATTAATTAATTGATTATTATCAATTAAATTCACAATCAAACAGGAAGTGGAAGAAAAATTGTCATTTTTGGTATTTGTTTTGATATAAAAAAATTAAGGAGAACTAAATTTTAAAATTTATCAGAAAAACACATTCAAGTAAACTCTTAACAACTAGATTCATAGTTGATAATAAAAAAATGGCAGATTTTATAGTACGGTTTTGAGATTAGTTAATATTCCGATGAAACAGATTTTGATAAATAACTGGGGGTTATAATTAATGATGGGAAATATCGAATAGTAAAAATATTTGATAGTTACACAATATATTCGAATAGTTTTTAAAATATTTGATAGTTTATGCTAAAAATAAAATATTAGGTGGTATAAAAACAATTCAAATAGTTAATCGATAGTTTAAAATATTTGAAAATGCCCATCACTAATTTTTTTTATTATTAATTGTATTCAATTTATAATCATAGTACCCCGAATAAACAGTTTTAAACAATCCTATTTAGATTGTTAGTGTTATTAAAACAGCAAAACTATAAATCTGACTACAAGACCAATATTTTAGAAAATTTAACTTTACATATTTTTTTTTTACGAAACATTTTTTTGTAAAATGATTATTTCGAAAATTATGAATGATTTATATTCAAAAAATGAATTTTAGAAAATTTTTATAAATACCATTTTCTAATTATAATTAAGTGTATTTAATAAAAATTTTAGATAGAACTAATCGAATATTTTTTGAAACCATTCGATAGTTTAAAATATTTGAAAATGCCCATCACTAGTTATAATTGAAATAGTTAGATTTAATGGGTATGATGAAAAAATAATTTTAAAATTAGTCCAAACATAAAAGTAGAAAAAAGACTAGGCTGGCTAGAATTTTAAGGACTTTTTGTATTACTTTAGTAACACCTAAGGGAAATTATTTAAATGATTATTTGATAACCCTAAAAATAAAGTAGAATAAGAGAGAAAATTGGGCATTTATAAAATTCAATGTGAAATTTGATTTGATTTTTTTTGGTATTTGTTATTTATGCTTTTTTTAAGTTTTTGAAAAAAAAAAAAAAACCTGAAATAAGTAGTTTAATTATGTGAATACAGTGTTTTGAACCACATTTTTCTACTTAAAAGTTTTTACGTATTCTTAATTTATACTAAATAACTAAACAATAAAATATCTGAAAAAAATTCATCTCTTAAATAGTGGACTCTACATATGAATGTATAATTTCTAATTTTTAAAAATAGTTGTTATGTTTGGATAAAACAAATATACTGGTGTTTTTATAAAATGTTAGATTTATAAATCAAATATAACAAAACATTCCAATTAATATTTAGTACAAAATTAAAACAAAACAAAATCAAATTAAATTGTTTTCTCATAAATCGAGTTGAAGATCAAACAAGTATCATCAAACAGTGTATTAATTGTTTACACGAATGATATAAAGTTGTTCGTTTGAAAAATGCTTGAAATAATATTTGGATTGAGTTTGATGAAACATGGATAATTTTGCTTGATTCAATTAAAAAAATCAGGATTCATGCAACATTACGCTATGTAAAAATATTATTAAAATAAATACCTCAATAGTGTTTTCTTTTGAAGGAGCATTAGGAGTTTGAAATTTAGTAATAGGTTTAACATCTATTGTAGGAATCATATTATTTGCAGTACTAGTAGAAATTAGTTGATTGTGCATAGCTAGTGTTGCCATACCAACTAAAGATTCATTACATCTCATTTTTCTCTGTCGTTCACAATAAGCTAACCATGTATTTTCATTAAAACCATAATTGAAATAATCTAAATTGAAATAAAGTACAAGTTATTTAAATAAAACTTTTGATAAGGTTCTTTTGAATACTAAAGTAATACCAGTTATATCAGCTCCAGGTTTTAACCAAGGCTTTTCTTCAGTAGTCTCAATAGAAAATTCGTGAGCAGGTACACCATTTATAGATCCAACGTCTTCGAAATCTTCAACATTGAATTTACCTTGTTGCTAAAATAGAAAAAAATTACATTTAAATTGGAATTTTAAGATGTATTGAGTGTTTACAATTTTAATAGTTATTTAAACTCTATATAACAAATTACCAAACAATACTTATATAAAAATTTAAGTGACTACTAAACTAACTTTATTTCCGGCAGATAAGCCAGCACTATTTGTAAGTGTTAATAAATTATTTCTTTTCAAATTAATTCCCGTTGTCCCTGAACTCAAATTGTTTTGTGATGGTATATTATTCTCTAATGCAGATAATGTAAAGTTTCCAGTAGCTACTACTATATCATCATCACTATCATCTTCACTATCTTCTGATAATGCTTCTTGCTTTTCATAATTTTCATCTGATATTTTTTCAGAAACAGTTGTACTTTCCCCTAAAGTGTCCATCATGTTAATACTAGAAGATCCATCATTGGGTTCAACTATTGAATCTGACTTAATATCTGATCCGTTTAAAAATGTTTCTGGACTTCTTGGATGATCAAATTCATCATTTAATTCTTGAATTGAAGATTGTACATCTATTCTATCTGTAAACAGATAATAATAATATATCATTACACATATAAAAATTGTTAAAATATATTATAAAAAAACCCAGCACAGTGGGGTCGTAAGCATAGTTAAGTCCAGTATAGATGATATCTGACAGTGATTAAAATCACTATCATAAAAAACGCTTCAATGCAAATCTGTAGATAGTGTCTAATTTAAAAAATTTTTGTTAAAATAGCATATTTTTGAATACGGTAGCCATCTGCNATACGGTAGCCATTTCCGCATAGAAGATAGGTCGTCGGGACAAATTTTTTTTTTTTATTTTATAGCACATAAAATAAGCTTTAATTTGATATATGTTTAAAGGACGTAGTATTTCCGGAATATTTTCAAAAATTAAGNCAAAAATTATGAATGATTTATATTCAAAAAATGAATTTTAGAAAATTTTTATAAATACCATTTTCTAATTATAATTAAGTGTATTTAATAAAAATTTTAGATAGAACTAATCGAATATTTTTTGAAACCATTCGATAGTTTAAAATATTTGAAAATGCCCATCACTAGTTATAATTGAAATAGTTAGATTTAATGGGTATGATGAAAAAATAATTTTAAAATTAGTCCAAACATAAAAGTAGAAAAAAGACTAGGCTGGCTAGAATTTTAAGGACTTTTTGTATTACTTTAGTAACACCTAAGGGAAATTATTTAAATGATTATTTGATAACCCTAAAAATAAAGTAGAATAAGAGAGAAAATTGGGCATTTATAAAATTCAATGTGAAATTTGATTTGATTTTTTTTGGTATTTGTTATTTATGCTTTTTTTAAGTTTTTGAAAAAAAAAAAAAAACCTGAAATAAGTAGTTTAATTATGTGAATACAGTGTTTTGAACCACATTTTTCTACTTAAAAGTTTTTACGTATTCTTAATTTATACTAAATAACTAAACAATAAAATATCTGAAAAAAATTCATCTCTTAAATAGTGGACTCTACATATGAATGTATAATTTCTAATTTTTAAAAATAGTTGTTATGTTTGGATAAAACAAATATACTGGTGTTTTTATAAAATGTTAGATTTATAAATCAAATATAACAAAACATTCCAATTAATATTTAGTACAAAATTAAAACAAAACAAAATCAAATTAAATTGTTTTCTCATAAATCGAGTTGAAGATCAAACAAGTATCATCAAACAGTGTATTAATTGTTTACACGAATGATATAAAGTTGTTCGTTTGAAAAATGCTTGAAATAATATTTGGATTGAGTTTGATGAAACATGGATAATTTTGCTTGATTCAATTAAAAAAATCAGGATTCATGCAACATTACGCTATGTAAAAATATTATTAAAATAAATACCTCAATAGTGTTTTCTTTTGAAGGAGCATTAGGAGTTTGAAATTTAGTAATAGGTTTAACATCTATTGTAGGAATCATATTATTTGCAGTACTAGTAGAAATTAGTTGATTGTGCATAGCTAGTGTTGCCATACCAACTAAAGATTCATTACATCTCATTTTTCTCTGTCGTTCACAATAAGCTAACCATGTATTTTCATTAAAACCATAATTGAAATAATCTAAATTGAAATAAAGTACAAGTTATTTAAATAAAACTTTTGATAAGGTTCTTTTGAATACTAAAGTAATACCAGTTATATCAGCTCCAGGTTTTAACCAAGGCTTTTCTTCAGTAGTCTCAATAGAAAATTCGTGAGCAGGTACACCATTTATAGATCCAACGTCTTCGAAATCTTCAACATTGAATTTACCTTGTTGCTAAAATAGAAAAAAATTACATTTAAATTGGAATTTTAAGATGTATTGAGTGTTTACAATTTTAATAGTTATTTAAACTCTATATAACAAATTACCAAACAATACTTATATAAAAATTTAAGTGACTACTAAACTAACTTTATTTCCGGCAGATAAGCCAGCACTATTTGTAAGTGTTAATAAATTATTTCTTTTCAAATTAATTCCCGTTGTCCCTGAACTCAAATTGTTTTGTGATGGTATATTATTCTCTAATGCAGATAATGTAAAGTTTCCAGTAGCTACTACTATATCATCATCACTATCATCTTCACTATCTTCTGATAATGCTTCTTGCTTTTCATAATTTTCATCTGATATTTTTTCAGAAACAGTTGTACTTTCCCCTAAAGTGTCCATCATGTTAATACTAGAAGATCCATCATTGGGTTCAACTATTGAATCTGACTTAATATCTGATCCGTTTAAAAATGTTTCTGGACTTCTTGGATGATCAAATTCATCATTTAATTCTTGAATTGAAGATTGTACATCTATTCTATCTGTAAACAGATAATAATAATATATCATTACACATATAAAAATTGTTAAAATATATTATAAAAAAACCCAGCACAGTGGGGTCGTAAGCATAGTTAAGTCCAGTATAGATGATATCTGACAGTGATTAAAATCACTATCATAAAAAACGCTTCAATGCAAATCTGTAGATAGTGTCTAATTTAAAAATTTTTTGTTAAAATAGCATATTTTTTTTTTTTATTTTATAGCACATAAAATAAGCTTTAATTTGATATATGTTTAAAGGACGCAGTATTTCCGGAATATTTTCAAAAATTAAGTTGAAAAAGTTATTTTTTGTAAAAAAGTTACTATTTTAAATCCCCCCAGTGAGCAGAATAAGTGTTAGATTTTCAAAAAAACGATATCAAATGAAAGGTAAATATCTAAGGTTTTAGTATAAGAAAAAATTATGTTGATTTGTTGATTTTTGAAAAAGTTATGGAAGTTTTAAGAAAAAAAAGTGACAAAATTTGTAATTTTTTTGGATATTTCCCCCATTTTCGGGAAACGAGGGAATTTTTTTCAATTTTTAAGGGTAATGTCTCCAACTAGATACGATTTATGATCTTTTGACGTATATTTGAAAGAAATCGGTTCAGTGAGAGCTGAGAAAAAGTAGCAACAGACATTAAAAAAAAAAAAAAAACACATCATAGTAAAATTAATACCTTCTCAGCTTCGCATCGAAGCTAAAATAAATATTGAAAATGTTATGTTTCAAAATTTGTTCTAAATGCAAAAAACTTGCTATAAAAATCAAAGAACCAAATAAAAATTCTTTAAATTTAATTAATTACATCAAGTTTAAAAATAATTTTAATATAAAACTATAATTATACTAAAAATTTAACTTGTTTGATTTATAAGCATACAATACATATCTTTTACTGATTCAGATATATTTATTTTTTATATAATTACATTTATAGTTTTAATATATGGTAATTTTTAAAACATTCATATATTAATTTTTTTTTTATTGGAAACAAACCAAATTTTTCATCAGAGATTGTAATTAATTTAGTCCCAAAAATATACTGATATTTAAATTAATTTGATTACCTGGGACGGGATTAGCTAAAAATTCCATAAGTCGTGCTTCCTAGAAATAATAAATTAAATAATTTTTTTTCAAAAAAAAAAAAATATGATTTATTACTTCATCTTCAACGTCGTTGTCTAATTCAATAGGCTTTGTTGGCTTCACATTTTCAACTAGTTTATCGGAATTTTGAGATGGTTCTAAATTAGAATTAGAATCACCATATAACCACTGATCATCATCAGCTTGCTCATTAGTAGCGACTTCGGTGTTAGCATCAGCCATAATTCACTAATTTAATAAACTTTAACAATCTACATTATACCATTTTATCATAGTTAATAACGCATAATAAATAGAAAATCATTTTATTCAATATATTGAGTTTTATATAATAGTGTAGTACAAGTGTAGGTGGTTTAAGATTTAGCGAAAAACAAAAACCAGATAAATTTATTGATAACGGTAACATAAAACAAATTTTATTTATTTGTAGAATGAAATGAAATAAGTTTAACAAAGACGATAGAAAAATAATGCTTTTATTTACAAACACACATGGTGATAACATATCATAGACCTTAGACTCATTATAAAGTTATGATTTCTATGCTTTAATTCTTTAGTAAAAATGCACGTTCCAAGGTATTATTATACTGATAAATCTACTCTAACGATAAACGGTTATGGAGAAATTATGTGTTGGTTAAAAAAGATAAAGTATAAAAATTATTTTATTAGAGTATTGTGTAAGATATTTTATCAACGACGCTAAAAAAGTTAGTTATACTTTTTTCTAATACAGATAAAAAATTGCAAATTTTTAGGCAAAATTATTTTTGGAAAAAGTGATGTTTCCCTACTATAAAGTATTATTTCTGAATACACGGTCTTTTATCTAGTCGAGATAATCAAAAAATTCAAAATATGTTATCACAAAAAAACTAACAATTCATTTATTCTATTGTGGTGGTGATTTTACATAATATGAAGAAAATAAAATAATAATATGTACGCAGACATTTAATAGTAACCTTTATGCGTCCTTTCTATTGTTTGCTTTGTATTCATATGATTTATCATTATAATGACGTAGCTTTGAGTAATTAATAAATTCCGTCCAAGCTAAATAGACAATGACAGTACCACTTATGCTACCGTTGTAGCTTAATTATATTATTTGTTTCAAAGCTCTCATTTAAAAATCAAAATGTTTAAACTACTTTTAACGATTTTATTATTTTACTCCTTTCAGTTTTTCTATTCAGTAGAATGTATATCATTTTTCCATGTATTTCCAGATCCACCCCCTAGAGATAATATTGCTTTGATGGCGAGATATATTGTACATGATTCTGGTAGATACATTTTTTTGTTAAAATTAACTCTGTAATTAAATTACTTGGTCTTATTCAATTTTAACTGTATTTAATTTAAAATGTTTAATTTATAACTATCTGTAATACCTAAGTAATATAATTTTAAATGACTACTATCTGTAATAAAAACTAAGTATTTAATGCAATTAAAAATTAATTATTTTATTTAAATTTGAAGTACTAAATTTCACAAAGATAAATTTACTTGGTAATAGCCCAATATTGAGCACTTTCAATTAAACAAATAATTTTATAATTTTAAATTTTATAAGGAATCAGTAAAAATAAAATAAGTAGTTCAAATGAAAACTTAAAACTATAAATAAAACTATACTAATAAAACTATGTATGAATTTTGTGCAACGACATAAATGTTATTCAATTTTTTGTTATTTTTATCAAAGTAATTTACTTTTTGTTTTAATTTCTAAAAGAATCATTTAAAATTAAGACCACTTTTAAATAAAATTGTCATTAAGAATTTTAAAATTTAATGTTTTTAATTAATACAAATTGTAATGTAATAATTTGATAGAATGGACAACTTTATCATACATTGGAAATCAATCCTTTATGTCTGGTGTACCTATGGGACGTGTTTATTCAGTTAGTGATGGAACCATTGACAATAGTACTGGTGTTCCATATATAATGCTTTCACCAATGGACTTAACCTATCAAGATGTTATGGTATGTTTAATTTTTTAATAGTGATTTACTTTTACATTATTTAATTATTTAAGGTATATTTCAAGTGATATTTTCTAAAATAATGGTTTTGATATCATTTTCTATATAGGTTACTAAAAATTGTTCCCTCACATTAAGCTTAGCACAATCAAATTATTGCAAAGATAGATCTTACGACCCAGAAGATCCACGCTGTGCTCAACTTATTTTAACGGGAACTTTTGTTAAGGTATATAAAACTTAAAATAATTTTTACTAATTAAGAATCATTGGTACTCTTTTTATAAATATTATTATAAATCTAATAAAACTTAAAATTTTTTGTCTATTAAGCTAGAAAAAAATGATCCTGAATGGTTAACTGCCAAAGAAGCATTATGGACAAGGCACCCTGAAATGGAAAATTGGCCCATTTATGTTCCAGGTAATTACACAAAAATAATTCATTTATCATTGAAATTGAAATCGTGTGAATATAAATTTATATGTATATATATATATGTATTTTTTTTTACATTTTAGGACACAGTTGGCAATTTGCTAAAGTAAATATTGAGCATATTACTTTAATAGACAACTTTGGTGGGCGTAGATTTCCAAATATTGATGACTATTTCAAGGCAAAACCTATTTCTAAAAACAAATATAAGTCAAAAATGTCAGCAATATCTATAAAGAAAAATGTTATAATTGATTATGAATTTTAGAGTAGCTATAATTACTTAGGTTAATTTAATGAGTAAATTTTTTTAAGAATGGCTTTAAGTGGCTTTAAGAATGTATATTTTTTTATACCATTCTATTTATTTAAAGTTTGTTCTAATTTTTTTTTCAAAACCTAAAATTAGTATAAATAATTTAATAAGAAAAATACTTATATAAAAATTATACATAAAATGTAGCCTGTTGGGCTGTGCAATTGTGATTTTAGTAAATATACTATGACTGACTTTATAAAATCAATAAAAACATTGCTCAATTTATTTGTTATTAATATCTATTGTTTATTTGAATTTTTTTCTATACTTTTTAAATTATATTAATATTGTTTAATGTTACACATAAAACTTATGTACATATGATTTATTAAGAAATAACATAATCTACAAGTACTATTGTACTTAAAATATACTGGTATTAATATGTTATACTTGTTTATGATTATTTTATTTTGATGTAATATTTATTTCTATTAAACTTGAGACTACAACTACATTAAAAATATAGAGATTATCCAATATAAGATATTATTTTGTCCAAATTATATTTTAATCTTTTTTGGAATTGAAGTATTACTATTATAATGAATTATACTTATTATCCAAATTAACTTTTATTTATACTTTTTGTTTTAAGTTATGGTTTAATGTTTAATTTTAGAAGTTAAATAAATTATTTTTATTAGATCTTTTATAGTTTTTAAAAATTAAGTGACCTTACCTTTTTAAAAAATAGTTTAATTGAAACCAAGGTTTTTACTTTAATTCATTGTAGGAAGTAAGTGTGTTGCCAATATTTTATTTGGAGAAGGAAGTGTCAAGAAAATTTTACATTATTCAAATAATTCTATTATGGTTAACCTCTTAGGAATTATGTAACTTGGAAAATATTCTTATGATATCTGGACCTTACGGACATCAGAATAAGTGCCTGATTGACATAAGTGCAATTTCAAGAGACTCATATGTAAGCCTCCTCTCCCATTAATTTTGTTATATAATCATGTCATTTTTTTGAAATTTTGGAAGAGCTAAACTGCTTTAAGCCAAAAATTTGCTCCTATGTTGTCTAGAAGGTATTGGTTAATGTTATAATTAGAATAATGTCATTATAAAATAATAACATTATTATCGATATTTTTATAATGCTATTAAATTTAGTGCAATTAATTAGAACAGTAATCTATAACTTGATAAAAATATTTAACTATTAGTAAGTTAAAATTAAGAAGTGTGTTTAAGAACATTATAATAAAATTGGTTAAAAGTGAGTTTCCTTAGGAAATTTAACAGTTTCAACATTTAAAAAATAAACAAACGCGTACCCCTTTTTTTCATTTTAATTTTTGAAAATGTTTCAAAATACATGACAATTTGCATGAAATTTCCAAAGTACATTGTGTGATAAAACAAATAATTTAACAAGGGATGTTTCTTATGAGAATTCAGTAAAAAACCTAAGTACAAGAAAGGATTTGAAATAGACTTTCCCCACGCATGTAAATAATTTTTTTTGAATTTGATTTTTAAAAATGTTTTGGCGTGACTACGTTTTTTTAACCTATACTAAATTAAAGTTCTCGAAACATACTACAATATTAAAAAAAAAATTTCCCCATCCTTGTTCTACAACAAAAAATCGGCCGTCAAATTATAAATATTTAAAAAAAAAACTTTATTTTTAATTTTTAAAAATGTTCCGGGGTCTTTGTTTTTACAAACTTATATCAAATTAAATTTTTTGATGAAAAAAATTAAAAACGACCATACGATTTTTTTCTATGAATTATTTGACTTTAAAACCTTTAAAAATGATTTGATGTTACTTTAGAATAATCCAACAATTCCTTTTAAAAAGTATACACTATCTACAAATTTTGATTGAAATGTTTTTTTATGATAGTAATTTTAATAACTGTTAGATATCATCTATACTTGTTCCAACAATGCTGTGACTTCACTATGCTGGATTTTAAGATACCATTCCAAAAAAGTTTTTTTTAATATTTAAATAATTATTTAAATATTAAAAAAAAACTTTTTTCTAAATTATAATTACTTTTTATCATCTAATTTTTCATTTAGTCATTTTTATACCAAATTAGCATAAAATAAAAGAACTACTTAAGAAATTATAATCTTTTAATTTTTAGTATGTTAATCCATTTTCCAGAGTGAATTTAAACCAGTTTGATCAGTTAGATATAATGTTAGTTGATTCATTAAAAAACTGTAACAATAATTACTAGCCACAAACAGTAATTTGAGTCAATATACGTAAGCTAATTCCGTTATGATAAAATCTGTGTGACGGACTTTACACACATGATTGCCATCTTTAACAAGAAAACTTAATTTTGCAAGTCGCAATAGTTTTGAAAATTATAAAGGTCATTTATAATAGCTGGATCATTGTAAAAGTACTTAAATAATTGCGTTGTATAACAAAGGTAGTTAGATAAACATCCCGTTTAAAATGTTATACTGCGTTTTATGAGGATGTAGGTAATAATAAATTAGATGTTATTATTCACACGTCAAACAGGCAAATGACTGTTTCCTCTCTTTACTATTCTCTGCTTTAATAATAATAAGTTGAACATGGTTCATTTGGGTGAATTTCGAGGGTCCGGTTAACGTATCCAGAAATTATTTAATCTGACGACTAACTCCAAGCAAGGCTGACAACCTGGTTAGTCATATACTCAAATTTAAAAAAATATTGAATTTGCACTGTTCNCGTATCCAGAAATTATTTAATCTGACGACTAACTCCAAGCAAGGCTGACAACCTGGTTAGTCATATACTCAAATTTAAAAAAAATATTGAATTTGCACTGTTTTTTTAATATTTATTGGATTTAAAAGATCTTAACAACGTCGATTTTGAATATCATATTATTGTCCATGGCGTTTTCCTTGTAATGTCCTGGATTGCTATGGCTCATTGGTTAGTGGCTGTAAGCCTGCTGCTAGTATTTTCTGCCACTTACGGCTCTATAATCCCTCGAGGATATCGTCTTGACTTGCATCCTTACCCAGGTGACGGTGTTTTTAAAGGCAAAGTTCGCATAGATTTCATTAGTACAAGTAACCAATCGGTAAACTCTTTGACTTTGGACGTTCATTCAACTCTCAATGTGGTCGATCGAGAAGTTAAAATCATTCGTGTCGCGAATCTTGATTCGTCCGAAGAGGATGATGAAGTTTCGATGGAAGAAACGTAAGTACTACTTATATTTATCGTGAAACACTGTGTGAACAGAAACATGTGAAGGTTTTATCAATTTATGCTATTATAACATGAATTAATTATACTTTTTATACAGTACGCTGACTGTAACTAAACTAGAAAAACGAAAAGATTTACACACATTCCAAATAACTACCAAGCAAAATTTTAAGAAAGACATCACGTATCAAGTAGAGATTTTGTTCGATGGTAGTTTGGGCAGTGACCCGTCGAGTCCGTTTTACCAGTCGACTTACGCTAATTCAAAGCATTCAACACAAAAAAAGTACATATATTTTATTATACAATACATTTAATGTTATAAATTTATAAATTTCTTAGTATAATTATATTTATATACGATGATAAATTTCTAAGCAGGAAATGATAAGCTAAATATATGAATAAAGAAATGCTGAGTAGAAAAACATTTGTGAAACGACGTAAATGATTAAATCAGTAGAATACAATAAAAAATAAACTATAGCAAATATAAAAATTCGCGTTGAAACTAAGATAATCAAAGTAATCAATCAGTTTTTTTTGAGTTCATAAGTTCATAAGTTACTTAATTTTGACTAAAGGGTTAGATGAATTTAAAAACTTTGGAGTTATGTTAATTTTACTATACACTACTTTCCGAAATATATTAATGTAACAATAACTTTTGCCAGTTCACACCTAGTTTACGAGATATTGGATATATTTACTCTCATGTACACGTAGTCTTCCAGAACTTAAAAAAAACTTTCAATATTTTTGAACTTTTAAATTTATTTAAAAATGATTACTTTGTCCATAATTAATATATTGTACTTGAAATATGGTTTTATTTAATGTTGTGGCTTATATCGTTTATCATATAAGTGGTTCATTCAATTGATTATACGAAAATAAATATTAAACATATATTACTTTTAAATGTTATTAATGACATCATTACAAGAAAAATTACGTGCCTGTTTTCGCTAATTATTTATTGTCAACTTTAGTAGATGTGATAAGATATTTTGTTACGCTCATATTTAATGAAATTGGTTGATATTTTTTTATATATAATTTTATATCATAACAAGTAAATTTCATAACTTAATCAGTTTGAGGACTTATGTAGATCGATTAACATCTCTTATAAATAATTATTTAAAGAAACAGTGAATATTCAAGTTTTATATAATTTTATTTAACTTACCTTTAATTGCTTAATTAATTATTATTTATCTATGTTTACAAAGCTACTCATTGATAATTTTTTATTATTTTACGACAAGAAATCACGTGCAATTTAAATAGTTATAATTTTTAGTATAAAAATATTATAAAGTAATTAGTTTTTCTTATTCTAATATGTTCATTATCTAACATTTTAATTAAGTTCAAATTATATGCATACATTACAGAATTAGAGAATTTAGATTAAAAATACCCATAAAAAATGATGAGAATTATTTTACCTTAAGTATAATTAAATTTATAAAAGAACATTTATTGAAAATCTTATGACCAAATGCAGACACTACAAAACTTATTAATTTTTTCACACAATCAGACCTAAATTGTTGTACATGATTATTACATTATACTGTATTATTTTAATTCTACGTAGATATAAATATGTTATATTCTAAATGCTGAATTTTATAAAAGTTATGTAAAAATTTAATGTATAAATTTAGTTTTCAATGAAAATTGTAAATATTATTTCAATTTAGTATGCTTAATTTATAATAACATTTTTCAACTTAAATGAAAATTTAAATTTATTGAGTTTGGGTATTAAGACTGCTTTCGGTTATTAAAAGGCGATTAATAATAAAGNAAAAAAAAAAAAAAAAAAAAAAAAAAAAACACATCATAGTAAAATTAATACCTTCTCCGCTTCGCATCGAAGCTAAAAATATATATTATGTTTAAAAAAACTTAAATCATAAATTAATTACATGGTTTTTAAGCTTCATTAAAGCATTAATTGATTAAACTTTTGAATAATATAAAAACAAAAAAATAACAATGATTAAGTTGCGGTCGACCGTGCTCCTAGTACTTTTATTACTACGGTCGTATTATAAAATTCTTATCATTTTATAATATAAGTTTTTCTAGAATTATATTTTTTTTAACAATTATGAAATTTTAATCATTCGAATAAAGAGTAGGTATATTTAGGGTGGACCGAATAATGAAGTAATCATGGGGTGGGCAATTTTAAGCAGATAAGCGGCATAAGATATGAAACGGTTTTGTACTCTTTCAATTTGGACTTAGTCGCTAGCTAAGTATGGATACCACACAACTACACCGTATTCTTAAATGGAGCGAACGAAGGAAAAGTAGAGGGAACGTAAATATTGCGGGAAGTGAAAAGGCTAGTATGATGCTTTAAAAATCCTAAAATTTTTAAGGCTTTGCCAACTATTATTGAAATGAACGTCGAATGATAGAGAAAGAGTCAAATGGAATCCTAATTCAGTAACTGAAAATACACGCTCTAACATGGTACTATCTAGAGAGTAGGAGTGAAGAAGAGGGGCATATTTATTAGTACATGTCATAATATGATATTTACTTATATTAAGTGAAAGGCCAACCCGATTAACCCAGCACACAAAGGAATCAAGATCTGCCTACAGTAGTAAACAATCAGAGAGATAAGCTATTTTCATAAAATTTTTCATGTCATCTACGAATAAAAGGACTCGGGAATTAGACAGGTAATTATTAACAGAGTTGATATACAGAATAAACAGCTGAGGACTAAGGTGCCTACCTTGGGGGACGCCCGAAGAAACTTTAGTAATGTTAAAGTTAGCACCATTAACAGGAACATATTTTTTTCTTGACGTAAGGTAGGACTGTAACCAAGAAAGTAAAGGATCACCTATACCAAGAGATTTAAGCTCAGGTTCAAGCAGACGATGGTCAATTGCATCGAAGTTTTTTTAAAGTCGGTGAAGACAGCGTCAACTTGAAAACCATTTTCAAAACTGTTTAAAATAAAGCTTGTGAAGGACAAATTACAGGATACGGTAGATTTACCTGAGCGGAAGCCACGTTGCTCATCAATGATGATGTGGTTAAGACTTCGTTTAATATTTTAATAGACAAGGGATTCAAATAGTTTGGCAATATGAGAAAAGATGAAGATAGGCCTATAATGGGATACAAGAGATGTGTCACCAATTTTCAGTATAGATGTAATGGAACTAATCTTCCATGCCTCAGAAAAAAAACCTTCATCTAGTGAACGCCTAAAATGCAAAAAGATAGGATATACTAGAGACAGACGACAATTATATAATAATTTTACTGAGATTCCATCAGGACCATTCGAAAAATTGTTTTTTTAGAGAAATTAATACGGTTTAGATATCATCAAGGGAAAAAACAATTTGAGGGCAGATTATAAGGATAGGTAGTACAGATAGTTAAATCAAATTGACAAGAAAAAGGGGTATTGTAAATAGAAGAAAAGTGGTAAGAAAAGAGATTAGCAGATTCAGTAGGTGAACAGGAGATTACATTATTATGACGGAATACATTATTATTAATACATACATTATTGTGAAGGAATGAAATAGCGTATATTAAGATCTTTGGTATACTTCCAAATGCTAGAAGGATTAAGAGTAAGAATTTTTTGGGTATCATTAATATAGGATTAGTAATTTAGTTCAGAGATACGCTTATTATTATTATAGCATATTGATTATGTCATTTTCAAGCTACTAAGATAACAATGTCATCCACAAAGCGAATACAGTGTATAAGCTGGCCATTTATTTTTACTCCATTGGTCCACTATACACATATACAGTATAAATATATTTAAACTTTATTGCACGTATTTATTTCTTATCCTGGATAAAATTAATTTGACTTACAGTGATTTAATGTGGTTCTAGATGGTTCATAGCAATGAATTTACCAAGGGCAGGTGGTGCACGTTATGTTTTTCCCTGTTTCGAAAAATCAGAACTAAAAACTTGGATTGAACTTTCAGTAGCTCATAAAGGAGATGTTCATGTATTAACAACGATGCCTTTGGTAGATACAACAAATGTGTAAGTATTTACACAAATTGTTGTAGCTAAAATATCTAAAATAATTTTTGAATGAATTTATTTATAAAATTATAATTTTATTAGAACATCAGAAGGCGTGTGGGTTCGCGATCATTTTTCACGGTCACCACCAATGTCTGTTAATTCATTAGCAATGTTTCAATCTGACTTTAAGCATCCATCTATTGGAGGTATAAAAGATTAAAATACACTCGTTTAAAATCTAAAATTGTTTTAATTTCTTACTTTATAGAAAATAATGGTGCTAAAATTGGAATTTGGGGAAAAGAAGATCTTTTAAGATCATTATATACAACTCAAAAACTTCTACCGTCCGTTTTGGACAGCTTAGAGTTATATCTTTCTAGACCATATCCATTGCCTGAACTTAATTTAGTGGCTCTTCCTGGATATGCTGATGATAAACCTATTGATGCTTGGGGGTTACAAATGTTCCGGGAACTAGACCTTTCAAAAAAACGTGATGATTTTTGGATTGTTCATTTACTTGCTAAATATGTATCATTGCAATGGACATCCCACTTAACAACACCTATATTTTCATCATCCTTAACAACAGCAATTTCCAAATTTTTAGCTGATAAAATCGCTTGGCAGGTAAATTTAAGATTATATTTTCTTAAGAATTCTTACATTTTAATAAATATTTTTAGTTAGAAAAACCTGTATTTGATTCATTTGTAAAAGATATGTATGGAATGTACATTGAATTTGAAAAACCGGATTTAAAAGAAATTAAATCTCAAATGGAAGCTTTAAACACTACTAAAAGTATTTTATTTTAATATTAAATACGAGGTGAGTTCAGTAAATAACTGAAATTTTCGTTTTTTGAAAAAAATATTTATTTATTCGACTACAATAGTGTTATCGCATTAAAAAAAGTCCATATTATATATTATGCATTTGTGTCAACGCTTCTTCCAATCCTCAAAACACTTCTCAAACTCGATCTTTAGGATAATCTTTAGCTTATTCAGCGATACGTTTTAATGTCATCTATGCTTGTAAAATAGCGGGCCTTTAAGGTTCTCTTTATTTTTTGAAATAGAAAAAGTTACCCGAAACCATGTCTAGCGAATATGGGGGTCTAGACATCGTTACAGTATTGAATTTGGCCAAAATTTCACAAACCAGCAATGAAGTGTGAGCTAGTGCATTATCGTGGTGCAAAAGCCACGAATTATTCTGGCACAAATCCGGGTGTTTTTTTCGAATTGCTGCACGAAAACGGCGTTGTACTTGTCGATAGTACTCCTTATTAATAATTTGACCCCGTGGAAAGAATTCATGATATACTATGCCATTAAAATCGAAGAACACAGTGAGCATAACTTTCATGTTCAGCTGCACTTGTCGAGACTTTTTTCGTGCTTGGCGATTCAGAATGTCTCCACTAGGACAATTGAGCTTTAGTTTCGACGTCATATCCATAGACGTTCGCCATCTGTTGTAACACATTTCACTAATTCTGCATCGTCGTTGAACTTCATTAAGCGACTCCTGAGAAACTTCCATTTACCGCTGTTTTTCAAAATTTAGCAAATTTAGAACAAATTTTGCTGCTACGCGTTTTGTACCCAAAACATTCAAATTTAAAATTTTTTATTTCATGGCATGAACCAATCGATATTTCAATATCATCAGCGACTCCTCTTATTGTAATTCAGCGATCGTTTATAACCATTACTTTCACTAATTCTACGTTTTTATCGGTTTATGATATGCTGGGGCATCTGGGGCGTTCGTTATCTTCAACGTCTTCACGGGCATTTTAGAAATGCTTATACTACTCGTAAGCCCTTGTTTTATTTATGACAGACTCACTTGTTAACATTTTATACATTTATTACATTTTTTTATGCAAAATTTGATACAAATTCATTTTTTTTAACAAACGAAAATCGCTGAATTCATAAAAACATGTCTAATCTTAGCGGCTGCCAATGACAAAGTAAAAAAAGAATCCAGCTGAAAAATTTATCATACTACAGAGATATGTGTACTAACATTATGAAAAAAATTTTTGATAATCGGTCTCTCCAAAATCGCGAACTTTAAAAATTCCCGTTTTTTTCTGAACACACCTAGTACATGTTATTTAAACATACGTATTACTAAAAAATTTCATGTATTTTCTAGTTCAATTTGTTCTGGAAATGCTGGAACACGTATTTGGACCACAATCTTTTAAACAATCTATTCAATATTTCATGTCTAGCAAGTACGACTCCTTTAACTATAATTTATTGCAACATTGAGAAATGTCCAAAATAAATTTGATATATGCTGCATCATTATAATTTTATGATAACTAATGTTAATATGTAATTTTATTAATTTTAAGGGAATACCATACATATACAGAAGCAGATTTTTGGAATAAACTTACTGAAGGAGCTTACAATGAAGGCATATTAAAGAAAGTAAATATTAAAAATAGCATTCCAAAAAAAATAAATGAAATAATTCATCATCAAGTTCTAATTCTTTATTGAAGGGTGAAGATCCAGCTAATATTGAAGATATTGTTAGACCATGGTTGCAAGCCGATAGGTTTCCAGTAGTGACTTTTAGAAGAAATTACAAGAATACAACAGTTCAGATTATGCAGGTATAATAAAATACAATTATTTTTCATTTATTGTTAAGTTCCTCTCTATTCAAATTTTTTAATTTTTTATAAACTATAGAATAAATTAATTTAGGCAAAAAACTCAAATCCTCAGTAACTATTGAAAATCTTAAATTCTAAAAAAAAAAAAAATTCTGATTAGAAAAATACTTTTATAATAAGTAGTTAAGTTAAGTTTCACTCAAGAACAAAAAAAGACCAGCACAGGGGGGTCACGGAACAGTGGTGACGTGGCATAGTTGGATCAAGTATAATGATATCCGACAGTGATTAAAATCACTATCAAAATAAAACGCTTCGATGCAAATCTTTAGATAGTGTTTAATTTTAAAAAATTGTTAGATTATTCCAAATGCTACATGATCTGCTAGTTCCTTATTAATATCCTATTTAAGATAAAGTTTGTCCAATGAAAAAAGGATTATTAAAAAATATTATTTCTCAAAAAAAATTATATTGATATGTTCATTTTTGAAAAAGTTAGAGCATTATTAAGTTAAAAATATAAAAAAAAATTATTTTACAAAAATCATAATTTTTTATTAACTTTAATGTCTATTTTATCCACGAAGACAGGTCCAGATGTCAATTTTTTTTTTTCAAATTATAGTATATTACATAAGCTTCAATTTAAGATATATATAAAAATGTCAGATCTTCATGAACACTTTCAAAAGTTAAGTTGAAAAAGTTCTACTTTCTATATGTATTTTTTATATTTGAAGCCCCCCCTTGTATATAGGANTTTATATTTGAAGCCCCCCCATATATAGGGAAATAGTCTGATTTAAAAAAAAAGTGTGTCCAATGAAAGATGTATATAAATACTACTTCTCATGAAAAAATTGTATTGATCCATACATTTTTTAAAAAGTTATAGCTCTTCAAAGTAAAAAATGTAAATTATAAAATCGAGAATTTTCACACAAAAATAGCATTCAGTAACCATTTTCACCATGAAGATAAGTCCAGAGGTCAATTTTTTTTTTTTCAAATTAAAGTATATTACATTAGCTTTAATTTAAAATATATATAAAAGTGTCAGACCTTCCGGAACATTTTCAAAAGTTATGTTGAAAAAGTTAATTTTTTGTGAAATAGTTGCCATTTGAAATCCCCCCCTGTGGGCAGATAAAGGGTCAAATTTACAAAAAAAAAAAAAATACCAAATGATAGTTAAAGACAACAAGCATCTATATAAAAAAAATTATATTAATATGTTCATTTTTGAAAAAGTTACGGCAGTTTTTAGTAAAAAAAATTGATAAAATTTCGAAAATTAGCAATTTTTAAATTTGTAATTTTTTTGGAGGTTTCCCCCATTTACGGGGAACGAGGGAAATTTTTTCAATTTTTAAGGGTAATGTCTTCGACTAGATACGATTTGTGATCTTTTGACGTATCGTTGATAGAAATCCGTTCGGTGAGAGCTGAGAAAAAGTGGTAACAGACACAAAAAAAAATTAATAAATAAAAAAAAAAAAACACATCATAGTAAAATTAATACCTTCTCAGCTTCGCATCGAAGCTAAAAAATTGTGACACTTTTAATAAAAAAAAGTTAAAAAAATTCAAAATTTACAGATATTTAAAATTATGCAATATCTGCTTAAATTCTCAAAAAGTATTTTATTTATTATATTTTATATTTATTATTTAAGACTATCTTTATTGTATGCTAATGATTAATTAATGATATGTATAGATTAATTATTATTATAAAAAGTATTTTTAGGACAGTGAGGAAAGTATTTTGTCTTAGTAGATAGTTTATTTAAAAATAAACGAAATACATTTGTTAAAAATACAAAAATTAATAAAACAAAAACGGTAGCACAGTGGGGTCGAGGCACAGTGTAGACAAGGCATAGATGGGACAAGTATAGATGATATTTGACAGTGATTAAAATCAATATCATAAGAAACGTTTCGATGCAAATCTGTAGATAGTGTTTCATTTAGAGAAATTGGTGGATTATTCCAAAAGCAACATCAATTCTTATTTCTTTGTTTATATCCTAATTAGTAGTTCTTTGATTTTAAAATATAATATATGAATAAATACTAATTATAATTATTAAATTTAGTATGAAAATAAAAAAGTAAAAAAAAATTATAAGTTTAATTTCTTATGTCTTATGACCTTTATTCTATGTCAATTAAATTATATAATATTCATGAAAGTCAATATATTCTCCTAATAAGATATTTTAAAATAAAATAAAATACAAAACCTAGAATTTTAATAGAAAAATAGCATATTTTTGAATACGGTAGCCATTTGCGCATAGAAGATAGGTCGTC